TTAATATACAGGGTGATCTTTGGTTATGGTTCATTTAGAAAGAATTCAATATATTTAAAAGGGGAATCAAATCGATAATTTTCAAGTTTATAAAAAGATAATGAAATATGACCATTTGTTTTCTCAAATACAGTTACTTGAATTAAAGAGCAATTCCTTTTAGGATAATGGGTTAGTGGAAAGGCTTTTTAAAATTTTTTGTTGGAATTTTAATGTTTTCTTTTCATGGTCTTTTAAAAATTTTTCTATTGATTTTTTTTCTTTTCTTGCTTTTAAAACTTATCCAAATATCTCATGCGCATAAAGTCACAAATAAATTTTTTCTTATTTTGTTTTATTTTCTTATATATTTTTTTGCTTACTTCCACATAGCCCATACATTGATATATATCGTCAAAAACACAATTCATTGAAGGCATCTTATTTTATTATGCCACTTCTAATAAAGGTTCATATGATAGAAAAAAAGTCATGTGAAATGAAATCATTTAGTGTATCAATTTGTTCAAGTCACTTTAAGAAAAAAAATGATTAGTCATAACTCAATTTGTCTTAAAGGTAATAAGTAGTCTTATTCTTTTGGTTGATGTGCCCTAAAACATGGAATAAGGATAATTTTGGGTACATAATTAAGACATTTATCTGTTTATTGTATTTTAAGGAATGTATGGCTTTGGTTTTGGTATGTTTGAAGCTATAGCCCAGTTTTGACACTTATCAAATTACCAAAATTTAGATTCACAAAAAGAGTCATTTTTGCTTGATTTTAAAAGAATTCAACAAAAATCTTTTTCTAAATTAATTGTTTCATTGCTTATTGCTTAAGAAAATATTATTATTTTTTTATACCTTATTAAGATCACATGAAGATAAGGTTCATGGAATTCAAATTTATGTCCCTTGAAACAAAAATTTATAAATTTTTTAAGTTAGGCTTGGATAACATGAAATCATTTATTGGCTTGACTCTCAGTATCCTCGATGGAGTCACTAAACTATCATAATGTATATACTCGTAAATCTATCGTTAGACATAACTCAAGAATCACCACTAATCTTTTTAATTTAGATATGATTGGCCACCTAATTGAATCTGTTTCATTTTAAAGAAAAATCTCAAACTTGAATCGGATATCTTTAAAAAGTAAATTTTAGTTTATAAAATTAGAACTAGGTTTAAGAGTTCGGTTACGTGTGAGAAATGTTATAATACCCTCATAAGGCCCATCCAAATGATAATACTAAATTGATTTCGTGTTATCAAAAGCCTTAAAAAAATCTTATCATATAATTAATTATTGAGTATTATCCTAAATTGCCTCCAATAATTTGGTAGAAAATTAAAAGAATTCATTTACCTTAATACTATATAAGAATAATCGTTTCTCTTGCAGATGCTCCATTGTCGAATTATTTAACGTTTGTTTTACCAAAATTTATGCATTCTAAAAAATTTTAATTTTAAGAAAAAATTGATACTTCAACTTTTTCCTTAAAAATATTTAAACAAGAAAATTAACATTTTAACTTTTCCTCTTATTTTTTTGAAAAGTATTTAAATAGAAAATTTGATATGTCAACTTTCTTTTAATTCTTTGAAATTAATTTATATAGGAAAAATTAATATTTCAATTTTTCCTCTTATTTTGAAATTGACTTTGTTTTAAGAAAAAATTGATATTTCAACTTTTTCCTTGAATTTTCAAAAAATATTTTATTTTAAGACAAAAATTAGTACTTTAACTTTTCCTCACATTTTCTTGAATTTTTTTTTGTTTAAGGGAAAATTAATACTTTAATGTTTTCCTCAAAATTTTCCTTTGAAATTTCATCTTGAAAAAAAAAACCATTTTACTTTTTCTCTAAAATTTTATTTAATTTAAGAAAAATTTGGTATTCCAACTTTTTCCTCAAATTCACAAAAAATGATTTTATTTTAAGGGAAAATTAATAATTCAACTTTTTCCTCAAATTTTCTTGAAATTTTTTTAAGATAAGAAATTAATATTTTTAATTTTTTTCCTCAAATAAAAGTTTTTTTTTAATTTTTAAAAAATATCTTTGAAAATTTAAAAAAATATTCAAAAATTAAATAAATGAATAATATTAATTTAACAAATGAGTAAAAATAAATAAATAAATGAAAAAATATAAAAATAATTAAAAAAAACCTTAGCCCAGCTTGGCTAATGGAACGTGGCTTAGCTACAAAAAGAAAAATTGGTTAGAACGACTAGAATATTGGCTCAACTTAATGGGAACAGAGGTTGTTCGGAAGCGGGTCATACACTATGTGTTGGGTTGGCATTGGGATCTTAATAGATTAATGCGTGAATTTTGAAATTTTTTAAAGGTGATATCGCATTGTTTTCATCGCAATTTAAATGGCCCCGAATCTTCTTTCTTTTTTCAAAACTGCTCCACACTTTCTCCCTCTACCTTTTTACCTATCTCTTTAAAAGCAAAGAACAATGGTTGGATTCTACAATTTACGCTGGGATTTAGGATTCAAGTCGGAATCTAGCTAAAAAATTCAAGAACTGCCAAAAACTCAATCGAAATCTAGGTTTTTCAGATAAAAATCTAGAAATTTCATAAACATTTGTTAAAAGACCAATTCAACCCCCTAGGCTCTTAGAATCCTTCAAAACACTAACCAAACCAAATCAACTTCATATAACTACCAAATTTCTCAAAACTCTTTCTGCCAAAAACTTTTTTATACTTTTTTATTTTACTTCTCTCCAAATTTTTTTTTTTTTGCTGTTGCTATCTATTGCTATGTTTTTTGTTGTGTTTGTTGTCATGTCTTCTATGTGTTCTTTACAAGTCTTTTTATAAATGGAAATTCAAGTTTAATCATTGTTTTGATAAAGATGGGATTTTTCAAAATTGAAAATTTCACTTTTATCACCAAATGAACTTTATCTTTAAGAGAAATTCTTCCTAAATTTCAAACTATATAAAAAAATGGATTTTCACTTAAAGATAAAACTTAATCACTTGCCAACAATTCTCGACCATTTGATTTTTTTTAATTATCTCTCTTTTTTTAACCAATCAGATAAAGTAAAATAAAATAAATATTTAAAGATAAATAAACTTAAAATATAAAAATAAATCAAAATTAAATAAAAAATTAAATAAAGAAGAGTTTAAAAATAATAAAGAATAATCAGAGATAAATATACATATGGATAAAATAAAAATAAAAATCATGAAATAATTAAAACATAAAAATAAATTTAAAAAAGAAAATTTAAAAATAAAATGGATAACTGGGTTCTGATTGGTTTAGATTAGACCTGATAATTTAAAAAATGTCATAGTGACACGACACAAAAATTATTTGAATAAAGAATATAAAAATAACACGACTTAAAACTTTAGAAAAATCATAAATAAATTAAATAAACTAAAAAAATTATATTTTATGTTTTCATATCGACATAAATTATAATACGTAATTTTTGTATAAAATACGATATAAATATAATATTTTACATGATACGGTAACGCGAATTATCAAATTTAGTTTGAACTTGATCGGATTAAGTCTAATTATTTGACCTTAATTAATTTGAGTCTGAATTAAATAGAGTGTCTATATCTTTTAAGTATTAGAATTTTGGTTGCATGAAGATAAGCTTATGCTGTATGGGCATTTATATTTATCATATTTGCTCTTGCATGTCCCAACTTCCTCCATTATGTTTTCATCTCTTCGTCCTTGCAGTTTGCAAGAAGATAAGTTTATATTTTCTGGGCATTTATAAGTGTTGCAGCTATTCATGGCAGTAGGAATATTGAGTCCGTCCTAATCTTACCTTGAGTTTAGCCTTTGTCTACCTAGATGGAATCTGTTTGGGAGTATTTCATCTCCAATTCTTTTTATTATAATAATATAATTATTCAATTATATTAAAAAATTATGTAAAAATCTATTATTTATAAGTATGAATTTTATATAAAATTTTAATAATTATATATAGTTATAAATTATAATTGATTAATTATATTATAATAATCATAAATGATATAGGCCTTTTGCGTTGCTAGCAGCCTTGTGCAATGCTCCATCCTTAGGGCCTTGAAGGCTTTAAGCATCGGATTTCGAGGGATAGAACAAATTTTCCCATGTGCGTGTGAGTTGTTACTCCTGCCTGCATAGGCCTTTGAGATTGAGATCATAGTTGATTCCTTTTGCTTTATAGGAAGCAATGGATGCGAGTTTGCTTCAAAAATTAGAAGATAAAAAAAAAAAAAAGTTTCTCTTGCTTATATTGGCAAGTGAGTTCCCTTTTGGATAGAATTCATAGAGAGGTAATTGGTACTTGAATTCACGATGAAAATAAAATAAGTAGAATTGGATTAAAAAGAGTTTAACTTTCAAAATAGTTTAAAAAACACAAGTTAAAAAAAAAAAAGTGATTCATGCGTACGAAAGAGTGGATGTTGGTGAGCTAATCCTTTGCCAGCAGGCTTTTCAGAGAGGTCTCCAAATCTTCTGCATGTGACTGGTCGTTTTCTCTTTTTCTAAAAACTTAAAAAGAAGAGGAACTCCAAATTTAGATGATATGACAAAAATATTATAATTTTTATCATAATAAAAAATAATTAATAAAACATAAAATATATAAAATTAAAAAATTACAATTATTTTTATAACTTTTGAAAGGTGCTTAAGTTTAAGATTTATTGTTTGAGCTAATTTTTTTCGAGATATAAGTTCATATTTAAATGAATGATCAAGAATAACCTTTTTAAAGCATAATTAATTTTATTTTATACAATTAGTAATGTGCATATATTATAATATAATTGTATATAAATGTTGACAAAATGTATTATTGATTTTTTTGAAAAATGTAATTATTGGTTTTAAAGCGGTAGTAAAAGTAATTTTGATTTTTTTAATTTATTTTACAAAGTCAGATGATTTCATTAATTATGTCTTGTCAGATACCAAATAATAAATATTTTTATTGGACCGGACTTTTTAAAATTCCCCTGGAGTACCTATCGTTTTCTTCATCAATCAGTTTAAAAAAAAAAAAAATGATAAACTACTGCACTTAATTGAAAATTAAATCCAAACTTCCAATCTCTCTTTTATATGCATCTCTCTCTCGTAGTTCCTCGTTCCCTTCTCCTTTGGGTTTGCATTTGTATTTATGCTAATATTTCTCATTTCCCCCTCCTTTATTGACCTTTCTATTTCTTTAAATATAATAAATAAATTAGTAGTTTCTTTCTGGTTGGTGAGTTTGCGTAGAAGAGTGTGAAGTACAAAAAATATGGGGCTAATTAACAAAAGGAGGAGTTGAGATTCAAATGCTATAGGTTTCCGGTTCAAATGCACGGATCTGTCGGTGGTAAAGTCGTTTTGTTTTTCTTTCAATTTTTAAAGAGTAAGAAAGGAGCTGTATTCGATTGCATAATCTCTGTTTCGTGTTTGGATTGGATTGGATTTTGTCTTTGATTAGGGAAAGACTAATCTTTGAGATTATCAATTATCAATGCCAAAATAAAGGGATTAAAAGTGTTCTTTTTTTTTTTTTTTGAGAATGCGTTGCTGATTTTGCTTCGTTTCAAGTATTTGTCTACTTTGGTTTTGTATTCCTAGATCTTCTAATTTGATCTAAGTTTGCTTTCTTCGTTATTCAGGTTTATTTATTTTTCTTTCGTCAGATTATTAATCACTTGAGAGATCTCTGATTACTTTCCAAAATTGGAATGAATAAATATTTTTAAGACATTAAGTTTCTTTATAGGTTCACTCCTTTGGTGGATAAGAAAGTAGCCAGAAATAAGTTAATTCACTTTAGGATGCCTTTGTTTGTTACTTTGCTATTATCATATGAGACTGCCCATTGATCATCTAAATAGTGTTGCTAATTTTATAATCGGGGATTGAGTTTGCTGCTAAATATTCTGTGGGTGATTGATGATCTTTATCTTGGCGGAAAAATGGTTGATGGGATACGCGGCTGATGTACTTGTGAAATAATGATATGCGGAAATTCTGGACGTAAGCATATTTTTGGATTTTAATTGGGGCAAGGCAAATACTTTTTAGAGGAAGTTTGAGGACATTTCATTGTACATTACTTTCACATTAATTTTCTTGCTTTGTGTTCTTTCCTCATTTGCTTGTATGTACTTCCCCTTAAGGGGTTCTAGACTCTTGCATGCTTATTGAATTCAGAAGCAAAGAATTTATCCACTTGGTCTAATGATCTTTGCTCTGCAGGTCTGATGGCCTCCAGCTTGAACAAGTTAGTACATTAGTACACAGGAAGCTTGTTATCAAATGTTTTGTTGCCTGATAACTATTCCTAGATTGAAAAGATCTTTTATGGGGTGAGAAGTAGGGGTGAATATGGTTTTGCATTTCAAATACTTAAGGACATGGAGGAGACACAAGATGATGCAGGGCCTTCTAATGCAACATGGTGGCCTTCAGATTTTATTGAAAAATTTGGTTCTGTTTCTTTGGGTTCTCATGAAGAGAGCTTAAGTAATAGAGAATCACCTAGAAATTTTAAGCAAGATGGGTTGTCATCTCAGACAGCATCACAGATTTTGTGGAGCACTGGAATGCTTTCTGAGCCAATTCCAAATGGTTTCTATTCTGTCATTCCGGTGAGGATTGAGTTATCTTGTTTGTGATTATTTGTACTGTACTTGCTACTTATCTATTCTTATTTTTTGGTTGAAATTGAGTTTCATAAGAAAATGGGTTCTTGCTTTCTTCCTCATCTTTCTTTGTTAGTTTTTTCTTATTTATACTGGATTTCTTAATACTTATTGCTTTAAAAGTCTTCGCTTTACCTGTTTTGTTAGTTTGAAAGCGCTTTCAATTGCTTTTGTCCTTCCTTTTCAAAGGTAACTATTCACCTGTATTTGTGTCTTTTCTTCATTTTTTAAGCTGAATTTTGTCTTTGAGCCATTCATCTGAGTAAGTCCTACATCCTTAATTTATTCGAAAAAAAGAAAAAAATGGAACTGTTAAATGTATTTGATTTTGCAAGCCAATTGTGGTTGGCCAATCTGTACGCACATGACAATTGCATAATTTTATGGCTTAAAACTGCACAAAATACGCGGGGGGATCAAAACTCCAATATGGATCAAAGTTATAGATCTCATTGATGTTAAGGTGATATCGCAATAACGATTTACTTCATCAGGTTATAAATGTGATTACATGTAGAAGGTGTTGCATATGTCATATTGTTGAAGAGAAAGTGGGATATTATGGCATAATAGTTATATCTGGTTATGTAACATCTGGTGAACTCGTTCATTGCATTTGCTTATATCCTTTGCTGTAATGGGGATGCATGAGTTGTTTCCAAAGCCTTGATGCAACTAATGGTCCGGGGTAAGGGCAGAAAACTGAGGTATCTTGAGAATATACTTAAACTTCTTTGTCAGATTACTTAGATAAGGTACTTTATTTTGAAGTTCGGTTGATTAGAGAAGTTCATTACTGAGCATGCATAACTTCTTATAACCATATATAGGCTATTATTCATTGCTAAGTTTGTGACTAGTGGTTTTTCTCTTCTGGTTGTGTTTCAAGTAGTAGAATTTCTTGAGGTGCTGTCACAAAACTTAACTAGAATTATTTAAAGAAGGTAAAAGATTTTCTTTTATTTCTGTAATGGATGTATCCGTTGAGTGGAATGTAGGAAGTTAATAGTTGATTTTTTGTCTAAGGACTCTATGGCATTTGATGCTTGTGTGGGAAAAAACTGTTGAAATGTCAAATTAATTCGCATCAGCTTTAAAGTGTGAATGTACTTTCTCTACAGTTTGATTTCCCAAGGGAATCCCTAAAGTTAACTGAGTTAGAGAGCACTTTATTTTTGCTCTTAAAGTTAAGATGACAGTGGCTTATTATTAATGAAAGTAGGCATTGACTTTGTGATATTTTAAGGTAATACCAAAATGTCCTGAAAATTTGCTGAAAACCATGGTTCCCTCACTGCTGAGATTGTCTACAAAAGGTAAGAGCATAAGTTGAGGTGTGAATATATTGTACAAGGTTTGACTTCAATGATTGTTAGGATAACAGGTGTAAGTTAAGAATCCTTGGCTTTTCTTTGAATGATGTCTGGATTCTTATTGTTCCCTTTTGGTGGGCATTTTACTGGGATAACATTTTTGGGCCAAACTTATTCTAGATGGCCTTTTTAATAGGAAATGGGTTATTGTTGATTAGTTCTAAATTCACAAATGTAACAGATGGTGCGGAATTTTTTCCACTTGGGTGGTTGGTGGAAAGGACTTGTAGTGTTTTATTTTTAAATTTTTATTGCAACTCAAGTTATGCCAAAAATTATGGATAGGTGTTGACCACATGAAAGAGAGGTTATGGGTACAAGAGAAAGCATGGTAGCAGTATATTTGGTTTTGTGGAGTGTGAAAAATTATTATTTTTCCGTATGGAGTGTGAAGGAATACTTTTGCTTGTGGTAGCATTCACCAGATTGAAGCTAGTCTACTAAAGATTGTCATTTTTTTTTCCTGTATGCCTTTCTTTTTGGAGGGCAGGGGGCACTTGTTTTTAGCTCATCTTTCATTGCCCTTGTAATATGTAAAGGAAGGGAAAAAAGAAAGTAATTTACCATGCATAGCTGTTGCTAATATCTCCTTTCTTGTTTGATAGGTTCTTAAGGAATCATATAATGTTATTTATTTGTTTGGATTATGCAATAAGATGAAATAGGAGAGCTCTGTATTTTTGTTTGTGCATATGTATGTAGGTAGGCATGTATGTATGTATGTATCAAATAAGTTGGCACTTTTGCTATATTTTAATTTTCTATGTGTTTTCAACATCCTTCGTAATTGAAGCTTTTATTTTTCCTAGTATTAAGAGTTATTCTTATCCGTAAAATTCCTAAATTTGGATCTAAATAAAGCTTTTAGTATTCTTGTAATTTCATAAACTCTAATTGCTTGCAGTCTACAATTATTGGATTAATCTATTTATCTATGAATATTTTCTTATTGCTAAAATTCCTAAATTTGGGTCTAAATTAACCTTTCAGTATTTTTTTAATTTCATAAACTCTAATTGCTTGCAGTCTACAATTATTGGATTAATCTATTTATCTATGAATATTTTTATCACTTACTACCCTAAAAACTAAATTGTGAAAGGAGACTTATAGCATGGGGGTGTGTTAACTTGGATTATAGTTAGAATTATAAGACTTTGGGTGATGTTTGTGTACTAATAATAGGCATCTTGAGGGGTTTATATGGAATTCCTTTTCAGGGATATAGGTGATAACTTTAAAGCCATCATACTTTAGAATAACTTCTACCAGGAACAAAATTGTCATAAGGAAGGAAATCACTAGACTTTAAGGTTACAGACATGTTTGGAATTATTCAATGCTGGGGAATTTATTAGACAAATAAATGAAAGTTTTAGGGACATTGCCTGCATTTTACCTTAAGGAATTTCTGTTACGTTTATTAATTAAGCAACACATGATATCTGATAGCGCTTATTGAGGACATCTGTCATTGGATTCAACAAATTACTTCAAAGATATTAGGATGAGACGAGTGATGCTGTAAGAAATGAACTGATTGTGCTATTGATAGATTCATTAAGGTCTTTACTGCTTGTATGTGGGGATGCTACCTGGTCTTTGATATTGATATATTTATTAAGGTCTTTACCACTTTTATATGGAGATGCCTCAGGTTTATTCACTGGTCTTTTTTGCTGATGTTATAGAGTAGGAATATGATGTGTGTTAAAATGGCAGGGCAATGATCTAAAAATTTTGGGTTAACCAAAATGTAAAAGAGAATGTGACTTAAGGTTTTAGACTTTCAGTTAGAGGTGGTTAAAATTCATTCATTAATAAAGAAAGCTTTCGCTGCAAGTTGTCTAACTCCCTTTGGTGGGTGGTGTTTCTGTTGTGAGGAAGCTTGGTCTGCCTTGTTTCCACCTAAGAAGAAATGAGTGGGGATGGGGGATCTATTACTTGTGGTAAGGCGGATTGAGGTGAAATTTGCAGTGAAGTTAATGATGAATCATTTTTATATAATAATTAATCTTTAAAGAATTCCAAATAAGGTGGAAAACTTCTGTAGCTTTTGGAAAATTATTATGGTACCTTTGATGTCGAGGATCAGGAATTAAGTTTTATATAGGGTGAAGCGAGATAGGAGGGAGTTGTTCACAGGATTGAATCTGACTGGATTACCATTTTTTTTTTCTAAAGAGAAAAATAAGAAGATGGTTCCATCTCCCATTTATAAGGAATTAGGTTTTATTTAGGGTGAAGAGATATAGGAGGGAGTCGTTCACAGGATTGAATCTGACTGGATTACCATTTTCTTTCTAGAAGAAAAATAAGAAGATGGTTTCTTGTCTTCTGATTCATTTATTGGTACTGGAGCACTGCAAAAGTGTTTCAAAAAAGGGTTATCTTGATATGGGTTTGCTTCCCTTCTAGATCAACCTAAGTTAAATGGAGTCTATCATCCTGATTAAAAATCAAACATGAAACTTCATATGCCTTAAGATTCATAGAATGAAAGAGAATTTTTGAGTTCCTTATATCAGTTATACCCAACATTGAACATTGAATAGACTGAAATATGGAGTTGCAGTGAGGTTGGAAGCAATTGAGGAATGCTGTAAATATCAAAATCTTGTTTGTTTGTGATGATAGTAGATTTCAAATTTTTGTTTTTTCAAGAATGAAGGAGCAACTTATATCATTAAAAAAGAATTAGGCCACGTGCGATGCATTTTTTTTTAACCGATTGAATAGTTAATTTTTATTCAAACATATAGATCTAGAAAATTTTACTCTGTTATTTAGATTCCCACTGTATATTTGGTCTAACTCCACATCTGTATGACTATCAGAGCTCTTAATGATATTTGATCAAATCTAAAATTGAATGTTAAGCAGTACTAGTTGGTCTACCATCTATTAGATTTCTATTGCGATTGACAGCATTTCCCCTCTGAGTGATTGTTTGCTACCTAAAGCAGACTGTAGGCATATCATGCATGAAAATGTGCTTTAGAATTTGATATCTTGACTGTGCTTCTATGCGGAGAAAATGTAATGGCATTTTAAAGTGAAAGAAATTATTGCTTTTTGAAGACTTGATGGTTGCTAACTTGTAAGAACTCTTTGAAGTAAAATTTTAGAAGGTTTTTACAACTGTACTTCTATGCTGTAAAAAAGTTATGTTATAAAGAGATAGAAGTTAATTGCAGTTGGAAGACTTGGTGGTTGCTAACTTGTAAGAACTGTCTGTAATTAAAGTTTTGCTAGTCTTATTGGGTAAAATCTTGTTCAAAATTGAAGGTAAAACAGAAGCTACTTCCTTGTCCTTTATTGTTCTGTTAGATATTTTCTTTGCACTATTTGTTCAGGGAATGCTTTTTACCTTGCCAAAGAAATCTGGCTAGGAGTATTTCCACAAAGGATTCTGTAGATTACTTGAAATGTGAAATCAGAATAGTATTTTTGTGCCTATTTAATGCTGTTATTTGGTTGATATATGGTACATACGTGTGCTGGTGAACTAACACTATTACATGCATGATTTATGCACTTTAGGTTTCCATTTAGTCATGTTTCTTATAATTCTTCTTTGAAGTTTATAAGTGTTACTTCTCACAGAATAAAAGGCTTAAGGGTTTGTTTGATACTCTTCCTACATTGGAAGAGCTTTATGCTTTGGGTGGAGAAGGTTATAGAGCTGACATCATTCTTGTGGATGCTGAGAAAGATAAAAAACTATCTATGCTGAAGCAGTTGATTATGGCACTGGTTAAAGGATTGAACTCAAATCCAGCTGCAATGATTAAAAAAATTGCCGGATTGGTGAGAATAGTTTAATATTTGTTTTCTTTTATTGCGATTCTTCCTCTCATCTTCATCTCCCGCTGTTCTCATTGTCTGTATTTCAGATTGTCGATGGTTTCATTGTCATGTCGTCAACAATATACAGCTAGATGCATCTATTTATGTTCCTGTTATCAAATATATTCAATATTCTTCTTTTCTCTACTCCCTTTTTGAAAACCAAGTTTCTTTATTGCAAGCACACTACATCAGTACTTCATGCATGGGCTTCAAATGGACTATTTTAGTAATTTCCTACTGTACCACTTTTAACCTATTTTAGCTTCTTCTAGTGATATATTGGCAATAGTAAAACAGAAAAAGTGTTTATTTCCCTTTAATTGCAGACAATTTGCTATTTATGTTTGCGAAAACATTCCCATAAAATGCAGGCAATTAAAGAAAACCTGCCTGTAACAGAGATGAAAAGATTCTATACAGACTAGAAGGGACATAACAAAATGCTGGTGTTTATGGTTTGGGCTGTGGGGGGGTCATTAATTTCTTGTATAAAATTTCTAAATTTGGAATTCAGTTTTTTCCGAACATTGATGGAGTTAATTCTTAGGTCTGGATATAGTTTAATTTCCGTTCTCTGCTTTAACATGAATAATTAAATTGGACTCAAAACCCATAGTCAAAGCTGGCAACTTTAACTCTTGAACAATGGGACAAGCTGGTAACTTCTTATTCTTTGTCATTTCTCTTTCTTACTTGTATTGCAAGTCCATTATAAGCATTTATTTCATCTTTTTAATCAAAATACTAATTTGGTTGTTGATAGATGCTTTGTTTTGTTTGTTTGGTTTTCTTTTTGGAACTCCTGCTATTTACCTAGGTTTCTGATTTTTATAAACGCCCAACTGCTGAAAGTCCAGCAAAAGCTGCACTTGAAGAAACCTCCCACATGTTTGAGAATCGAAGTGCCCAGATGCTGGGGCAAATAAAGCATGGTTCATGTCGTCCTCGAGCAATTTTGTTTAAAGTCTTAGCAGATACTGCAGGGCTTGAAAGTAGGCTCATGGTGGTAAGCTCTTCTCGTGTTCCCACCCTCTTCAATTGTTAGGTTAGATTAAATGATTTATTTCTTTTTCTTATGCATACCATATATCAGTTTCAAGGTTCAGACCTTGTGAAAATAAATTGAATGAAATAGAAGATTTTCCAAGAGATTTTTATCTGTGACTGAAAGGCTGTGCCAATTTTTGTATGTCATTCTTTCAGGGTTTGCCAAATGATGGGGCTGTTGAGTGTGCAGATTCATATAAGCATATGTCTGTGATTGTTGTGTTAAATTCTGTGGCGCTACTGGTTGATCTTATGCGGTTTCCGGGCCAATTGATACCGTGTTCGACAAAGGCTATTTTTATGACTCATATTTCAGCAGCAGGGGAGAGTGATTCTGCTGAAAATGACTCCTGTGATTCACCATTGGAGCCAAATAGTCCTCTCTATGGATTTTCTGAGAGAGTTGATCCTGAGAGGTTAGCAGATGCATTCCGAAATTGTATATCTTTCCTTTTGAGCTTCTTTGACATAATGTACTTGGTCACAAGTGTTTGTGAAATGTTTAGAAAGTTATTGTCGTCTTTCTTTTTTTTGGATAAGTAGAATGTTATAATTATCATTTGGTTCACTGCAGTGCTGAAAAAGATGAGAACCTTCAGTTCCATCGAAAATTAGATGGGTCTGGTGCTTCATTACGGAATATGATGCTACGATCTTCCGCCTCTGTTGATGGGAAGTTAAGGTGATAGATATCATGGCATCTCACAAGATAAAATAACTTGATTGAAAAGTATATTTGCTACAGCATGTTTGATATTATAAATTCCTAATTTTACTTATTTATTTTTTTGTTTTTCTCCCTTAGTCTGTCACATAGTGAACCCAACATCACTACTGCTTTCTGGCGACGTAGCCGAAGAAAGGTTATTGCTGAACAGCGGACTGCCAGTTCTAGGTTCCTATCATGCCCTTTTGTGTTTTGGATTTATATATGCTAAAGGTTGAGTAGTGTAATCCTATTATTGTTTGGATTAGGTTTTATTATGACCATATTAATGTTGGTGCCCGCACTTATTACTAAATAGTTGTAGATGGGATGCCATGTTGGTATAGTGATGTAGAACAAGTTGGGGAAAGAGATATATAATAGTAATTTAGAGGGAAAATAAGAGATGCAGCAACAATTAGGGAGAAACATAGGAAATAGGGAGAGGAATAGAAGAATTAGGGGAGAGAAAACCAAAAAAAAAAAAAAAAAAGAAAAAAAATTAATCGGAGAAAATCTCAATATTCAATCTCAAATATTAATCATCCTTAACCTAATTGAAAATAAAATAGCACAGATATTCCTAAGCTAAATCTAAACCCTATTAAAAAGCAAAATAACAAATATAACTCTAAAACCCCAATAGTTGGACAAAAGCAAAAACTAATTATATAAAATAGTCTAAATAACCTAAATCTTTATAAAGAGGACAATTAAACTGAAAATATATATAACAAAATAACAGTTTAAAACCTATACACTTGAAACATCACTTTCCGTTCTCCATCATGTATGCAGTAAGTTTTATGGGATTATCCATCTCTGAAAAGAAAAGAAAATTATTGAATCTGAAAGTTTGATATGTTAAGTATTTCTTGTTCTTCTCAAAATTTTAATGTCTTTGCAGTCCAGAGCATCCATCTTTCCGAGCACGTGCAAGGTCCATGCTGAGTGGTGATAGAAATTCACTTAGAGATTATGCTGATGATGTTGCAACAACAAGGTTTTTTTCTCATTTGATCCTTTTTCAACAAATATAACCCACATTTTTCATTCAGAAATCATGATTTTGGTTCTCATGTTTACTGAAAAACATATGTTTGTTACAAGTATTGATGGATGAAACTTTTTGTATGCTCTGATAATAAAGTTGCTGTGGGCCTTTGGTTTTCATGTCAAAACATGCAAGTCTTCGTCCCTCTTTCCCCCAAAATCTTCTTGTGTTGCTGCAAAACTTATTTCCTTTAGGTCTTCGAGATGGGCATGGAGAGGGTGGTGAGCAGTGTTTGAAGTTTTCTTCAAACATATTTTTTTATTATAACCAAAATTTTTATTCACACCATCATTGCCACTGTTCTTGAAATATAGATTATGGTGCTATGTGCATAGGCATTTGTTAATGTATCTGGTGGTTTTCTCTTGCTACTCAAGCTGTTGATGCTCTGAATTGGAATGTCTTTTTAGTTTAATATACTAACCTTGGCTTAATGAAAAGAATGTACCGGCCTTTATTAATCTGTTTTCTGTTCCCTTTTCCCACGTTCTGTAAACTAACTTTAGAATGAAGTGCGAAATTGTGCACTAACTGTTATTGTTATCTTTGAACTGCATTTCTAGTTACAGATCAGATGGTGCATCAACATCAGAAGCTCGTAGAATAAGAAGAAGAAGCATTAGCATGACTCCAGAGATTGGTGATGATATCGTAAGGTTGATTTTTTTCCTATTAAGAGTTATGACATGCTTTTGTCTGATGCTTGACTAGTCTGGCTTTCTTTTGTCTGACTCCTTATCTTGTTTTTTCCTAGCAATTTTGTTTTTGTTCTGGTTCCAGAAAGTTAAGATTACTTATTTCTATTTTCAAGGTGCCTTACCAGTTTTTTAGGAGTGTTGATATTCAATAATTCTAGTTCCTCTTCTCTTTCTTTTTTTTTTTTTTTGACTGGTGAAATATTTTGCATGTTTCTAAATTATATATTGTGGAAAAACTAAGAAATAAAACTGTGTGGAAAAATAAAACTGAATGTATATTGAAAAACTGCTCATTTTTAATTATACAATAACTTTAAGTTTATATACAACTAAATAGGGGTTAAACTAGGAAACTAAATCTTCCTAAAAATTGATCCTATAATTGAGGGATTGTCTATCCTAATTTTTTGTCCTTAATTCTAGGGATACAAATACTTAATTCTAGATATACAAATATAAATACATAGATTACAAGATTACAACCAGTTGTAAGTAAATGTTTTCCCACACTCCCCCTTAAGCTGGTGAATAGGTGTTTTCCATTCCCAGCTTGAAGATAATTTCTTGAAATGTTGCACCGCTGAGACCTTTAGTCAACACATCTGCAAGTTGACCCTTAGTTGATACATAAGGTGTACAAATCAGCCCACTGTCTAGTTTCTCCTTTATAAAATGCCGGTCTACTTCAATGTGTTTTGTTCTATCATGTTGCACAGGGTTGTGCGCAATGCTTATTGCAGACTTGTTATCATAGTAGAGTTTCATTGGTCCATCCCACTTGATCTTCAAGTCTTCTAGGATAATCTTTAACCATAGTAGTTCACAAATTCCTTGAGTCATTGCTCTGAATTCTACTTTAGCACTTGATCTTGCGACCACATTCTGTTTTTTACTCCTCCAAGTCACAAGATTACTACCTAAAAAAGTGCAGTAACCTGAGGTAGATCTTCTATCAGTTACTGAACCTGCATAATCAGCATCTGTATATGCTTCTAGAATTAGTCCTGAATTTCTTTTGAATAAGATACCTCTCCCAGGATTGGCCTTCAAATAGTGCAATATACGGTAGATAGCCTGTAGGTGCACTTCTTTAGGATTATGCATAAATTGACTTACCACACTCACAACATATGCTATATCAGGTCTAGTATGTGAGAGATAAATGAGTCTTTCAACTAATCTTTTGTACATCTCTTTATCTACAGCAGCATCTTCATTAGCTTCTCCAATTTTATGATTAGGATCTACAGGGGTATTTGTAGGTTTATATTCAAGCTTCCCAGTTTCCTTCAGAAGATCCATCACATATTTTTGTTGTGAGATGAAAATACCATGCCGTGAGTGAGCTACTTTAATTCCTAGGAAGTGCTTCAATCTCCCTAGCTCTTTTATCTCAAATTCTCTAGCCAAACACTGGTTTAGAGATTCTCTCTTTTTCATCATCTCTAGTTACAATTATATCATCAACATACACTAATAGAACTGTGACTCTCCCTGAATCAGAGTGCTTGATAAACAATGTGTGATTTCCTTGACTCTATTTATATCCCATTGCTAGCATCACTTTGGCAAATCTCCCGAACCAAGCCCTAGGAGACTGTTTAAGGCCATATAAAGCCTTTTTTAGATTGCATACTTTGTTTCCTTCTAAATGACCTCCAAATCCCGGTGGAACCTTCATATATATTTCTTCTTCCAAATCACCATGTAGAAAGGCTTTCTTAACATCAAATTGTTGAAGCTGCCAATTGTAATTTGCAGCCAATGATAAGAAAATTCTAACTGTATTCATCTTGGCAACTGGAGCAAAGGTTTCTTGATAATCTACTCTATAGGTTTGAGTGTAGCCCTTAGCCACTAACCTGACTTTATATCTTTCAACAGTACCATCCGCCTTGTATTTTACAGTGAAAACCTATTTACACCCCACTGGATTTTTTCCTTTAGGCAACTCCAGTTCCCATGTCTTATTTTTCTCTAAGGCCTCCATTTTTATTTTCATGGCTTGCCTCCATTTCTCACTGGATAATGCCTCGGATAATGTAGTTGGAATAGAAATAGTGTTTAGGCTCACAAGAAAATTTTTGTGGGATGGTGAGAATTTTTCAAATGACAGAAAATTAGAGATTGGGTATAGTGGATGCTTAGTACATTCTCTGGTTCCTTTCCTAATGGCAATAGGTAGATCATAATCACTAGTTATAGTTTTAGGAGATTCATGCTCATTTTGAGAAACAGAGTCAAAAACTGTAGTTACCTCATTTCCAGAGTTAAGATTAGGTTCTTGGACTGGCACTGGTTCATGATCTGGAACTTTTCTTCTTGAGTACACTTGTAATTCCTTCATAGAATCAAGAACAATATTATCCTTTGTCACATTTTCTGTATTTGAAATGGGTTCAGACTCAAATTCAATGTTTGACTTGGGCTCAGCAGAAACAGGTTTCGACTTAGAATAATTAATTGGTGAAAATGTTGAAGAAGGAGACAAAGACAAATCAAGCAAAAAGAAGTCTTTATCCTTATCTTCCATGAATGAAGTCTCCCCCTGAAGATAAGGTTGAGTAAAAAATGATTTATTTTCTTCAAAAGTGACATCTGTAGACACATAGAATTTTTTGGTAAGAGGATGATAACACTTATACTTTTTTTGAGTTGATGAATACCCCACAAAGATATACTTAGTTGCTCTTGGATCCAACTTTCCCCTGATATGACTGTGAACATGAACAAATGATGTACAACCAAATATCATAGATGTGAGGTTGTTTGTGGTATTAAGATTGGGATAGAATTGTGACAGTAGTTCCATAGGAGTTTTAAATCTCAAAACCCTTGAAGGTAACCTATTCATAATGTGTGTGGCAGTGAGAACAGCTTCCCCCCAGTAAGATTTGGGTACATTTGCTTGAAAAAGGAAGGTTCGGGTTGTGGCTAGTAAATGGCTATTTTTCCTTTCTGCCACTCCATTTTGTTGTGGAGTATTAACACAAGATGACTTATGGATAATCCCCTCCTTTTGGAAATAGGTGGATAGATTCTAGTTGAAATAGTCTCTTGCATTATCAAACCTAAATCTCTTAATTCTCATTTCAAATTGATTTTGGATCATGTTTTGGAAGCTTAAAAACACATTATTCACATCTGATTTGGATTTAAGTAAAAAAACCTAAGAAACTCTGGTACAATCATCTATAAATGAAACAAACCATCTTGCACCAGAAATATTAGGAATTGTAGAGGGACCCCAAATGTCACTATGAATTAAGTAAAAAGGAGTAGAACTTCTTTTGTTACTAATTGGAAAAGACACACATTTGTGCTTTGCAAGTTTACAAACATTACAATGAAAATCTTCGACATTTAATCCTTTGAACAAAGAAGGAAATATGTTTTTCAAAGTTTCAAAAGAAGGATGTCCAAGACGAAAATGATAAAGCCAGATTTTGTCTTTATTGGAAGATTTTTCAGAAAGAAATGACAAAGGTAAACTATTCTTGATATTACTTGTGTTATTTGATGTCTCGAGATAGTATAGTCCATCCTTCTCCTTAGCAAGTCCAATCCTTTTCCCCAAACTCTGGTCCTGAAATTCACAATAAGAAGGATAAAAGGTCATTTTGCAATTCATATCTTTGATAAGTTTTGTATAGATATCAGATTAGTAGACAGTCCAGGAATATGAAGAACATTTTTTAGAACAAACGAGGGATTAACTTGAACATCTCCTAATCCTGCCACTATAGTAAGTAAACTATCTGCAATAACAATTTTCTTATTACTAGGACACAAGGTATATGTACTAAACTTCTTTGAGGAATGTGTCATAAGGTCTGTGGCTCCTGAATCAATGACCCGAGAACTCGTAATAGGCTTAACCAAGACATTTAATCCATGAGAACCAGAAGCTTTACCTGAGCTACAGACCTTACCAAGGAACATACCACAATAGGCTTTTCAAGAGTTTTCAATAGGTTTCTCAGCTTTTCAATCTCTTCTCTGTCGAACTCTTCTTGTTTTCGAGACATCTGTAGTATTCCGGTGATTTTCCCAGTTGATGCTTCTTCAAATTGGGTGATAGTGATATCTTTCTTTGAACTGAAACAAGTCTTAAGACATAACCATAAATGACTCTTAGCAATGAAGGCTAAAGAAGGGAAAAATAGAATGGCTATGAAGGCCTTAACAGGGTTCGACAGTGAAGGTCTAAACAGGGTTCGGCAATGAAGACTGAAAATTTTGCTTCCCAAAAAGAGCCTAAAGCTCTGATACCATGTGGAAAAACTAAGAAATAAAATTGTGGAAAAGTAAAACTGAATGTATATTGAAAAGTTGCTCATTTTTAATTATACAAGAACCTTAAGTTTATATACAACTAAATAAGGGTTAAACTAGGAAACTAAATCTTTCAAAAAACTGATCCTATAATTGAAGGATTGTTTATCCTAATTTTTTGTCCTTAATTCTAGGGATACAAATACTTAATTCTAGATATACAAATATAAATACATAGATTACAAGATTACAACCAGCTGTAAATAAATTTTTTCTCACATATACATTATATATATATATATATATATATCAACCATGTCTGCGCCTTAATTGTGAGTAACAAAAAATTTTAATTAGTTAGGCAATGTACTAAGAAGAGGGATAAACAGATTGAAAGAAGTTTGTTTATAGATGCGACGAAGAATGTCTACAGCTTACTTAAATGCGCAAGTATGTTGACAGATTTTATCAGTGCATAAATTGATGTCAGGACTCAGGATACTTTCTGTAAGTATACGTGCATCTATTAGATTATTGTGGTTCTAACATGTTGCCCAGAGTTCAAGCATGTTTCTACGTCATAGCTCGTGTGAACTTCTCTTGAGCAGATCTCTTATAGCCAAAAAAAGGGAGGGGGAGGGTACAAAAAACGTAGATATACAGTTCTTGTTGATGGAGTACAAATTTCCTTATCTCTGCTGTATATGTCTACAACTGTGAGAGATGGCTCAATGATAAATCTTAAAATGTAAACCATCTGCCCTGCACCCCTTCTTTTTCTTGTTCTCCAAAATGGAGGAAAAAGAAATTAACATAGCCCTTTGATGAAATAAAAAATCTGTGGTTTGATGGCTGATCTGCTGCCTAGCCCACTGCATTGCTTTACAAGCGAAAGTGATAGTATGAATGAGGCTAATGTGTTCCCCTTTTAATTGTCCAAATAGTTGTTGTGCAAGGTCCGCTAAATGTTAAATCTAGTGCCACCAATCTTTTTTGTGGACTTCTTAATATCCATAATCTTTATTGTTGTTGTTTAGTCTCAGGCATATTGACTTACTAGTTTAATTTGCAGTCTTAACTTTCTTCAGCTAGCAATTTTATTTACTACGCTATTAAATTATGGTAGTTAAACAAATTGTTCTCCGACTTTTGAGTCCTTAAAAATTTTTAATGAATATGATGCCATGAACTTGGACTTATCTTTTTGTTGCTTTCCTATTTGCTCTCTCATCATGTAATTAATATCTTAGAACTTTAGTGGCCGTTTACTTTAGAAAGTGTTTTTTATTTTCTATTTCCTTTTACCGTCTAGATATGATCAATAAGACAAAGGTAAATAACAAAATTTATAAAATTGGAGCAAGGGTTTCCCGATCTAGTCAAAAAGGTTGAAAGCAATTTATTGTAAAATTCCTTCCTTACATAAATTTGGAAAACAAGGATTTCCATATTTGGTAATTATCCTTGTTCGATTTCATTTGTTGGGTAAAATGGAGATGGAAAAGGGAAAACATTTTCTGAACAGACTATAATCTTACCTGTTTTTTCTCCTTCATTCTCTTTCTTTATATAGAAGATATTAATTTTGGCAATTATATCAACAATTTTCCTCTCTTTGAACCCTATGCAATGGATGAAAAAGATCTAGGTTTTTTTTTTTGTTAAGGTAAATGCTTTTGGGATTAATCATCATTGTCCTCCCAACTACTGTCTTACACTATGGGCTGCATATGAAGTTAGCTTCTTGCCATTGTCCATATTATTTCAGATATTGAACTCAACAATTAATGGTTAAAATGAAGCTTTCTAGCAGTTCATCATAGTAGTCTTTCAGGTTTTAGTCAACTAATAATATATTTGGATCACGTATACCAAGTGATGTCTATTTTCATATGTTTGTCCTTAACATGTTTAGTTATTGATGTGTATTTTCTGAAACTTTTGATATTTTTTTTTTCTTTTATAAGGCATACATTCTGTTATATAGTGATTTAACTTGGATTATGTCTGAATTGTTTCAGGGCTGTCAGAGCTATGAATGAAACATTGAAGCAAAATCGTCTTTTGCAAGAGCATGGGGAAGATAGATCTTTTGCCCATTCTTCAACTGATAGGAATGAGAGTCCAGATCTTCAGAAAAATGTCTGTTCTTTTTTTTTAAAAAAAAAACACAATTTAACTTTATCTTGATAGGATGTTCTGCACTTTAGCAAGTCGTTCTCTATAGCTCTTCATGTAGGCAAACATGTCTTTCTCTGCTTGTTTCAATACAGATATATTTGTTTGTCATGACTACCAATCATTTCAGGAGATATTGGTGAATGGGCATAATATGTGTCAACTTATAATTGCAATTTTGGTTTCTTTTAAATAAACATCCTTTATTTTATATTTTTTGGGATGGTTGTATCTGTTGTTTCTTAACATCTGTCCCCTATTTTCTTATATAATGGTTGTGAGTTTTGGAATTACAGTGTAACTAATTCTAAAAAAAGGAAAAAGAAATTGGTTATACATCTCAGACCTACAATCAGGTTGGGAGTTATGAGTCATAGGAGTGCTTTTAGATTGTGCAGTTAACTTTGCTGGTGTTATTGTGGGAAAATTCCTGTGGATATACGTCATATTGCCTTAAAATAAGCAGAGCAACAACATGAGCATTTTATTTTTTCCGTTAGAGCCACAGTTTGATGATTGTTATTCTGATAATCCATCTGATATATGTTTGTTTCTTATCTGTTTTTAATGTTTATAATTCGAGGACCAATTTGTGCAACTGTTTCCTCTTATGGACTTCTTTTCCCTAACGCCATAATTTTATGCTACTGATTTTAAAATTAAAACTTAGTCATACACTATGTTTTTTTGCCTCCCATTTTTTTCCCTTCTCTATAGATGGTTTCACTGCCACTTGCACTATGCAAATATTCCATAAAAATGTGATTGCAATAGAAACTAAAATTAGTTGCATTATTAATCTATGCAGATTATATGCAAATTGCCATTAAATGGTCACGGTTATTTTTTGTTTTTATATTCATCATTGTGGTTTTAATTCCTCAAAATCTTTGTGGCCTTAAAATGTAAACCTGGGATATGCTGTCCTATTGAGAGGGTTTAGTTACCTAATGCAATTTATATGTCACTAATGCTCTCTGCATGTTCTTTTAGGTATCAAATTTCCGTCTTGATGGCCACGCTAAAATTGCTGACAGGAGGTCTGCATTGTATAATCTTTCCAGGGACCAAATAAATTCTCAAAAGGCAGTTTCATTGCCATCATCTCCACATGACTATAGGAGCCAAACCTCAGAGAGAACTGGAGCTTCAGGCTATTTAGCAAATGATGAAATGGTTGCAACATGGAATAAAATTCTTGAATCTCCAATGTTCAACAATAACCCTTTATTGCCTTATCCTGAATGGAATATTGATTTTTCTGAATTAACCGTTGGAACTCGTGTTGGGATAGGTAAGCACTCTTCAATTTTCTACAGTGTCGTTGTTGTGAAGCTTCTCCACTCCTGCTTCATATGGTTTCATGCTGTATATGTTCTCTTCCATCTTTTTTATATTTCTAATGTTCTTTGCCATTTTTTGAGGGGGTGGGGTATTGTTTCATAACAAAAGGCTGAAGCAGTCTGTGCTATATTCCATTTTAAATGCAGCAGATGCATCTAAGGGGAACTCAAATCATGCCGATTCAAGATTTCTTTAGTTTTAACTTCTAAAACAAATAGCAACTTTGATTTGATTCGTATACAAAATTAGATTTAGAAGATACTGAGTACTGGGATAAATCTCACAAAAGTTGAGTCAACAAATAAACTTTATAAATACTAGGTACTTAATTGGATCAAATGAAGTATTAGAGAAACCACTAAAATGATGTGTTTAATCATGTTTGTTAATAATAGGTTTTAAATGGTGTTATCTCACATTAATGAAGTTTACTTTTTTTGTGGCCTTATATTTGTATAGAGCCTCTCCACTTATTGTCAATTTGTTTTAGGCTGAATACTTAATATGTTACTAGAGTTCATGGTGTTTGTTAACTTCTCTATTGTTTGTAATGTCATTTGTTTTGTTTTTCCACTTGTTAGGCTTGTTGTTCAATAGGCATTAGATTTGTACTTGAGGAATCTTATGTGGTGTATCCTGCATCTCTTCTGTTTAGAGATTGTCGCCTTTATATTCAAGTTGGACCTTTTTCACCTATTGACAAATGTAATTTTTTTAGTAGCATGGTTACAAAGAGGCTAGTCTTGTAAATCATTCATTTTCCAATTGGGGTTTATTACTTTCCTTATATATATGCATGAATGTATGTATTATGTATGCTTCAATATCTATGTAATTTGGTTCGGACACAAATAGAGAAAATGTCATATAAAGTTTTCTGTTCATTTTGTTTACATTCTATTATGAGGTGTCAGTTCTGAAGATTATAGGCTTAATATCCAAATATACCCTCAAACTTTAGTAGAAAAAATGGAATTACCTATTATTGCATGTAAATAAGGCTATAATCTTTTATTTTTCTCTAATTATCCTAAACTTTTGAAATCAATTAAAACAATTCAATTGGAACAATTTTTAAGTTGTTTTATAACTTAAATTATTCTCTAAAAAGTCTGTTAGGAATAATGGAAGAGTAATTATTGCATGTCAAGTGTTTACCGGCAGTGCTAGATAACAAATGTTAGTCTTCTGTTATTCCAATTGTGACTTTTTTCATTGATTTTAAAATTTTATGGTTATAATTATAGACAAATAAAAATTCTAGTTTTATTTGCATGCAATAAAAGGTCAGTGGCTTAATTTCATTTTTTTACTAAAGTTTTAGGGTATATTTGGGCTATTAAAACAGTACACCCTGTCTATATATAGAAGGCCATGGTATCAAAAACCCTTCCCAATAGCTTCAAAGTAGAAAACCCATAACAAATGAGATCTGTTTTCAAGGTGCTGCTTCTCTTTCTCCTTGTAATGTCTGCAAAGAACCAGCATCAATCTTGCTTAAAAGGTGAAAACGAATCTCAGAATGCAAGACACATTTAAACGTGCTTAGGTTGCCACTACAAATTATCTTTGGGAAATCTGATGTGTACTTTTTGCATCCTTGGCTTGTTTCTTACGAGTCTTCTATATTGGAAAGGATGAAAAGCAATTGGGCACTGCTTTTGCTGATGTGGTAGAGAAGGGACAAAGCATTAATTTTTTTGGGCTTAATTATGCATGGAAAGTTCATCATTCTAGAAAATTTTCACTGTGCAGGTTGTGTTTTTTTTTTTTTTTTTTTTTCAAAATCTTGTTGTTTCTTTATTGTCCAGGGTTTTTTGGAGAAGTTTTCCAAGGTGTGTGGAATGGAACAGATGTTGCAATCAAGGTGTTTTTGGAGCAAGATCTTACTGCAGAAAACATGGAAGACTTCTGCAATGAGATATCCATTCTTAGGTATGTTTTTGTTGGTATGTTGAAGGATTTTAATATTTTACTGCCTCAATATCTTTCTGACATAATCCTCTTTTCAATTTTGTGTTTCTATGTGTTTGTCCTTCTAGCCGCCTTCGACATCCCAATGGTACTCTCCTATCTTTCCTAAAATTGTACTTTTTTTTTGGTTTGTTTAGGATCTCTTTATCTGGTAAGCTGACCAGAAATAAGACAAAAAAAAAGGGTAAAATAAATAAAATAACACTGACAGTGTGCCTGTAATAAGTTTTCTCATATATTAATTTTTCTATAGCACCATAAGAAACATTGGCAAGTTTGCTTTGCTTCATCACTTAGTGAACCAAGGAGCGCTGCTTTTGCAGTTATCTTGTTTTTAGGTGCATGCACAAAGCCACCACGGTTGTCAATGGTTACTGAATACATGGAGATGGGATCTTTGTACTTTTTAATCCATTTGAGTGGTCAGAAAAAGAGATTGAGCTGGCGGAAGAGACTGAAAATGTTGCATGATATCTGCAGGTGTGTTAGGCCTCTACATCACTTACAAAGTGCATTCTTCTTTTTCTGCCTTCATAGTTAGAAGGAATATATTACAATTGAACATATTATGCTTTTGAGAAATTAATATTTAAACCTACAGTTCATCAGTAGGAACTTTTGGAAGGAATCAAAGTGCAGCTGGTCTATTTCTTATATCAGCTTCTGCCTTTCCTCAAGTTTTACATTCCCTTCTGAATTTTTCTTTTTCTTGCTCTCTGTTTTTGTTTTTTTTGGAAATTATTAACATGTGGGACAGTTAAATATATAACATTCGAGTACTCATGCATGCTCATGCTGTTGTATAAGAATTTATTTTTAAATTCCACTTTTGGACTCGTATAATTAAGCATATGGGAAAAAGAACTTTTAGAATTATGGGTGTTTGGTAGTTTTTTGTGTACATACTTTTTTTTTTCACTCTTTATGTTCTTAATAGGAGCAGATGAATGTTTTTCTAAGTTAAATTTTCATGTTTGATATTACAAGTTTCTAAATACAGGTGTGTATAGGTTTATCCTATGACTTGATGGTACAAAGTGTCTTTGTTTAACATAGTTTCTGTGGAAATATGATACGTCTGTTTGCATCCACAAGTCATTATTCCCTAGTTTTTATGTGAAACTTGTAAATCATTCAATTTTTGTATGTCTATATTAGACGAGCTTATTGGCCTCTTTGGGCAAAGATTCTTGTCTGGGATTTTGAATGAAGCTGAGGAAAGTATTACCTTTTTTGGCAAATGATTTGATTCTTAAGAAAAATTTGGACGTTTTGTACTGCTAAGTGGTGTAATTAGAAACACTATATCTGCATCATGTTCAAGGTTAAACACCCAATTAATTTTGAAAATTCATTTTATCGTATTTGTTTCAATTTTTATTTGGCAGAAGCATTGGCATACTTTGTTTTATATCCAGATACATGCAACCATGGCATGTGCATGAACGACATTTTTAAGTAAAATAAAAATGTCATGCTGACTAGATTTTACTCATGTTTATATAGGGGGTTGATGTGTATACACCGGATGAAAATAGTTCATCGTGACCTAAAAAGTGCAAATTGCCTTGTGAATAAACACTGGAATGTGAAGATATGTGATTTTGGGCTTTCGAGAATAATGAACAGTCGACCAATGAGAGATTCTGCATCTGCAGGAACACCCGAATGGATGGGTCCTGAACTCATTTGCGGTGAACCTTTCACAGAAAAATGTGATATTTTTAGCCTCGGGGTGATAATGTGGGAGCTCTATACACTAAATAGACCATGGGAAGGTGTACCACCAGAAAGGGTATGCTGTTGATGTTTCTCAAATAATTTGTCTTATTTTTTTATGCTTTTTTTTTTCCTTATGAAGCAAAATCCAGTTTTTGATATTTGCATTATTAAAGATTTATGGTCCTTTTTGTGCATTGGGTTCAGGTAGTTTATGCTGTTGCAAATGAAGGATCACGGTTGGAGATTCCTGAAGGTCCCATAGGGAGGCTAATTTCAGGTCTATTTTTCTTGCATTTTCCAGGATTTTGTAAGATTTTTACTGCTTGATTCAAATGGTAATAATATAGGGACGACCACATTTGAGGCAATTTAATTTGTTGGCTACAGATTGTTGGGCAGAACCAGAAGAGCGGCCAAGTTGTGAGGAGATACTTTCTCGCTTGCTCGATTGCGAGTACTCTCTATGCTGATACATTCTGTTTGTATAGAAAAACCTGGTTGATGTTTTAGCGCTGTGTTGTCGGCTTTTACAGTTGTATAATTTAATAACTTTTTTTTTTTAATTTTAATTTTAATTGAAGCCCCCTTTCCAGTTTTCAATGGCAAAACATCTTTTTTTATCGTTTTGTTGAATAACGTCTGGTCTTCTCGTCCATGACCCACAAAAATGAAAAGCCTTGAACTTGTAAAATATATTCTCCTGCAGCACGCAGCTCGTCTTGATATAAATTTGGCACTCTGCAGAGGAAAGAGGGAGGACAGGGTTCTAGCAGATCAATAACATAGATAAAAAGGATACTTCTTCCCGTGACCGAGTGTTATTACTTCTACGATCTTTAAGAAAAAAATTTTCATTTTAATGTATTTAATTTGAAATATTTTTATTGATTCAACAGTTAACACGATTGATTTAGTGATCAAACTATTCCGATGACTCAATATTTTGAATGATTTATTATCCAATTATAATAATTGTGTTTGCAAATTTTTCTTAAAATCGTTCCAATTATCGAATATGTTAATTTTTCAGTTTACAAAATGACACATCAAACGAACGAAACATCAATGCTGCTAAAAATAGAATTGAGCTGAACAATAGATTTGTGAAAGTACGAGGCTGACATTAATGTTGAAATTTGTAGCAAGTCAAAAAGTTATCAAATATTTATTCAAGTGCATTAATAAAAGACCTGAGGAGGCTGGAGTTCTCTTAGAAACAACGAATTCTAATGGAAGACAAAGCAACAAAAACCAAGATAATGATGCGGATGAAATCAGAACATACTTAGACTGCCGATATGAAGCATGTTGAGAGGTTGTTCGCACGATATATTCACCACAAAGAACGAGCGGTGGACAGATAATTGGTTATTCATTTACTTGATTAGCAGAATATTCATCTCACCGACAAAGAGAAGCGTTGCCAAGGCCAAATATCAGAAAAATACAGTTTATTGAGTGGGATGTATGAAAATTAGATACTTGAAAATGCTAGGCAAATTCTTTATGCAGACTTTCCTACTCAGTGGGGCTTGTCAGCTAAAGAAGCAAGGTGGACAAGAATATATTGAAACGAAGATCAATAGGACGAGTTACTTATGTCCATCTGGAAGCAAAAGAGTTATTCTACATGTGCATAGGACTTAATATCATTAAAGGAGTAAGCATGTTATGAAGATCTAAGGACTGTTGATGGAATGGTTTATCTAAGTTTCCAACAAGCATGTCAAGCACTTGGATTGCTTAGATATTATCAAGAATGGAATCAAGCATTATTTCAAGCATCAAAATGAGTTTCCAGTTATGAATTGCGATAGCTTTTGGGCAACAATTGGAGATTGATGGGTTTTAACATTGATATAGACTATGTAATGCATTTATCAGAGAACAGAATGATCCGTGAAGAAATGAATTACAATATGGCAAAACTACAAGAACAACATTTACAGTCTTTGTCAAGGCTCAATTTCGAATAGATGAAAGTGTATGAGGCAGTTAAGCAAATATGTTGACAATGATGAAGGAGGAATGTTCTTTGTCTATGTTCATGGTGGAACTAAAGACATTTTTTATGGAATACCATCATTTTAAGAATAAGATCAAGAAGCAAAATAGTTCTTGCTGATGCTTCCTCAAGAATTGCATCTTTACTATTACAAGGAGGAAGAACATCCCATTCAAGATTCCCTTAAATGTGTCTGAATGTGATACAAAACACCAGCTTAATAATATGGGATGAAGCTTCGATGATTCACAAAAATTGCTTTGAAACATTGGACAAGACAATAAGGGATAATAATAATGAATTAATGACAATCCTTCTGAATTTCTAGAGAAACCATTTGGAGGGAAATTAGAACTGATTTTGAGCTAATTTTGCTAATGGTTGAAGTTGGTTCAAAAATAGAAATTGTAATGCTACAAGCAACCGGTCTATTTTGGAGGCATTACAAGATCTTCAGCTTGAAGACCAACACGAAAATGGGAAATCATATTGATGAAAACACCAAAGCTGAAATCAAAACATTTGGACAATGGCTTTTAGATATTGGGAACGTGAAATTGAAATCACTGCATATGAAAATGAAGGTAGAATCCACTGAAAATCCAATCAACTCTGTCATTTCAACTGTTTACGGTAAAGAAATTTTGAAGCTAATTTTACAGAAACCAAACTAAGAATATTGTCTACAGAGAAACCATTTAAAAATATATATTCGGGTTTACATGATAGGGTTCTTATTTCTTACACTATTATTAGCAGTAATTTATCTGCTGTTTTGTTCCTATTAAATAATCCTGTTCTATTTTGATTCACTACTTATTCAAGTGGCAATAAATCTTTAATTTCCATTCTATTTATCTACCAGAAGTTTCCTTATTTCCTTGTATTCTTAAAAGCTTAAATGTCATTCTATTCCAAATTTCTTTAATTCTAACTGGCAATGAATGACGTTGAATCATTTGATGCAAGTGAAACATGAACTATCAATTCATCACTGATCCGAAGTTGTACGAACCTTCCTTGCAGTCAAGATCAGAATACTTAGACTTTAGCAATTAACAACTCCTGCAGGACCAAATAGACTATTAAGTCTTGACTTTGTAGCAGCTGATGCTATAGAGTTTATCTGCCAACAATACTTTTTCTTAATTTTTATAATAATTTTCATATTTACAAAGCAACTCTAATATATTTATAACGCATTTAAGTTTCTTAAAATGTAGATGTGACAAAAATAATATTTTTATTTTTCGGAGAACAACTAGGACTGAAGAAATCCAAAAGGATCCAACACTATATCCTCTATATCACTTCAACTTTGGACCATACAATATGCAAGTTTTGGCTAGTAATCATGACTGTTTACATTTTGTCATTACAAGAAAAATAAATTTTCTTTTGTGTTTTTGCTGTAAATAAGTTTTTACCCATAAAATTACCTCATATGGATATCATTGGAGTTGTAACATCCACGACATTTGTTACAGAAGTTTGTTTGAAAAACAGAGCAAAGCAGATGAAGTTGACAAACGTGATGTTTACATTCAAGATGTTCACCAAAAAACAACAATTTTCATCATCTCGCTTTTACTTATTTCATTGTTTTCGTGAATTCCTATTATCTAATCTTATCTATTTACTAAATTGTAAATACTAACAATGGTGAGACTGCAAAAGTGGCTCTCTATGCTTGCCAAGTTTTGCATGATATTGTGAATCCAATTCTAATATTTGCTGCACGCATTCCTACTAAAATTAGTTTGCTTACTGCTCATACATTCAAAAATAAATACAACTATATTGGAGGTGTTCTCTATTTTGCTTCATGCTCATCCTAAAAAAATATACCAGGATTTGGACATTCCTTAAACAGTTGAACTGAAAAAAAAAAAGAACAAAATACTCAAACTCGTATATATTTAAAGTCAATATACAAGTTATACTCGCCACTAATTTACTAACAATATTTCTATAAAAATTATAGCTATGAAAATGTACCAATCAACGTTCAATAGAGCCACCAGGAAATAGCAGCAGCTGATCAGATGCTAATAGAGCTAGGAACAATTGCTGAACTCCACATTACGCTTCTGCGCTGGCAAATTCTGGTGTAGCCAACAGCATGGTGAAAAACCACAAGTTCCTCTGCTTCAGCAAACCAAAAAAATATATTACCAGTGTCGAATTACTGTTTTCCTACGAATACTAAAATAAAATTGGAAAAGAAAAAAACATTTATGTGTTAAGATGCAAACTGGACATTAAAATCAAGGAAGCAACCGAACAAATAGAGATAGTTACATTTGGAAAACAAGATGAAAAACTGATTAGGCCCACTATACCTGAATTAAATAGTGTGAAAGCATAGACAAGATGGTATTGCCAGGTCCTATTTCATCACTAAAAGGAGATACCAGAAACCTACAAGTTGGACTCATTGCAAGAGCCATTGATACAAACACTCTCAGCTTCAAATTGTTTGATAGTGATGACAATAGAAGGGAGAAACTCGAAGTACAGCAAGCAGAGTCATCAACAACATACGGAGAATTGAAACAAGCAAGCAACCCTACAACTCCATTGCTTGCTGCTCTACTAGCACATGCAGAGGAACATAAAATAACACCAAGAACTCGAATCCCCAAGAAAACTCTTCATCACCAATCAGCACACAAGTTTCAGAGGAATTATTTCCAGAAGAATCACCAGCATAACAACGAACTCAAACTCTTAATCCATATTGGTACATCAACTCTGCTATTGCAATTAATAGAAAGAATAAATGGTCTATAAAATAAAGAAATAACTAACATATTTTTCCTCTCTTACCGACCGGTTGACAAGAAAAAGTACCACGCTCAGCAAAAGTACAAGCAAAGACTGAAAGAAGCAATTGCAAGGCAGACGACGAGATACGTTTTGTATAGTTAATTCTAACATAATAGCAAGGCTATAAAGGAAAGCAAACATGTTCATATGTTGGCTATTATAGTGATGATTTTTTTTTTTTTTTTTGGAAGAAAACAAGCATTTTCACGTGCTAGAAAATGTTTGATTCTTTGGTTCTTTAAAGACCACTTTAAAACATTCCCCATAACATTATTTTCTCAGCCGGCCTTAAACAATTGCTTCTAGACATTTCTAACTATAATTTTTTGTGATGTACTACTTTTATTTTTTATGACAAACAATTTAAGATGTGTGCGTATATATTCCAATAGAATATGTATTTAATAATTTTCCTATATTTTGCTTATCATTTTCATTGAAATATTAAATATTTTTTACAATAATCTTGTTATAAATTTCCTTTTCTCTCTCTCTCTCTCTCTCTCTCTCTCTCTATGCTTTATTTACATACTAAAAGAAATGTTTAACCTTACAAGTTTCAAACAAAATAAAAAAAAATGCTCCCAGCAAAGCGGGGGAAAAATCCTAGTAAAAATCAAATGCAGACATGTATGGACCTTCGCATGTTTTCTTTGAAAAATGAAAAACTTGTACATGCGCAAATTGGTGGGAAACAAACCCTCCTGTTCTTACCCAGCATAATCGGGTCTAGGGTTCTCATCATTTAACTTATTTCAATCTAGGATCGGTCGCCTATTCAGGGCAGCTTCAAAGCGACTACATGAGCCTGCTCTCATTTCTGTACTCGTATCATTCTCTGGTGCCGGATAGTAGTCTTCTCTCAGCTGCACATCTCTGAGGTTAGGGATTCCAAGAAGGAACCTCATGAAGTGTTCATGAGCCGTCCCGTGGATGAATAGCTTTCTAAGCTCAAGACATTCCGCAAGCAATCCAGCCGCAGGGAGTGAGAGACTCCTCTGGTTGACATCCCTGTCTTGTGGAGGCCAATAATCTAATTCACTTAGCCTCAACTCCCCAATGCCATTGAGGTAAAACCTTTCCCACAAACTTAAGTCCATTTGCCCTGACGGTGCTGTTAGGACATAACCTATGGTTTCACCACAATCTAATTGCATCTTTGAAAGCCGAGGGTAGCGTGCAAGGCAGCTCAATCCAAATGCACGTACAGATGGTTTGTGGCGTCCCCTGCAATCTCCTTCCACCCTTATTCGAATCTCCTTCAAATTAGGACAGTCCTCAAGGCCTGCAGTTGACAATGGAGTGAGAAGCTCACCAACACCAATCCAAAGAGAAAGGTATTGCAACTTATCCCATTTCTTAAACCAAAATCCGTAGACGTCATTGCTTTCCATAACGTAAGAATCACTCAAGTCAAAGGAGAATTTGCATTTCTTCCTGCTCACGTTTGGATCATACTCACTTCCAAAGAAGCTAAATAAACCGGATGGTTCCTCCACTTGGTAGTGGCCTAAACCATGACCAGACTGCTCTGAATTCCCAGTCTCCTCCAATCCATCCCAGACACAATCAATGTGCAGCCATTGAATCCGATCACGGATTGGCTCCACGGCTCTCAATGATGCTGCAGCATCAAGATTCTTACAACATGAAATCTTGACTTTAACCAAAGTATTTCTTAGCAAGCAAACCATAGTCCTGAGTCCCTTCTCCGTAATTCTTCTACACCCTTGAACCTCAAATGTAGACAGCTTACAACAACCTCTCCCAATTGCAATCAATCCCATGTCCGTCAAATCCCCAGAATTCTTAATAGACAAATCTTCCAGCCCCGAACACAAGGCAATCCCATCAAGCTGAGATTCAATCGCCAGACAAATCCCATGAAACTGCCCCAACTTAAGCACTTTCAAATCCTTGCATTTAGAATTCAAAATTTCCAATGCCAACGCAGTATCCCTCACGTTCATACAAACATCAAGCGCTAGCTCCTGAAGCGACGGCAACCCAGCGAAAAACTCCACCAGCGTCCCTCTGCTAATCATAGCATCCTCAGAAGTAAATCCTTCGTTATCCGGATCACCTCTAACATCAGCCAACAACGATATATCGGCCAAATGCAAAAGCGTCAATTTAGGACAATTATTCGCCACAGCTAACAAAGTCCCGTCTCCCACGAACCCAACGCGCCTCGGATCAAAATTACAAGCCACCAGAAAGCTCTTCAAGTTAGGACAAGCCGTCGTGATTTCCCTAATTTCCCGTGACTGAAACCCTTCCGCAAGCGACGTCGTTAGCAAATTCAAGTGGACTAACGAGGCTGATACCTTGGGGCAAGCTGGAAGAACCGGGGGGAGATCCTCAGGCCAGTAATGAAAACTCGACAAATCAAGCCAACTCAGATCTTCGCACTGCTCCAACAAAGAAAAAAAATCCGCTCCGGTTGGCCACTGAGCGAGCCGTTGGTGCCACCTCACCAGCTTCACACGCTTCAACCCAGGCCATTGTTGAGCCAACATCCCAATCGTCGACGGCGATCTAGCGTAGACCGTCAAGGACGTCACCGCAGGGAACGCCACGCGGAGGCGATGGGCCAAAATCTGAGGATCGGACAGCGGAGAAGAGGAGAGTACCCAGTGGCCCCAAGGGGAGAGCAAGGAGAGGTCCAAGTCAGTAACGGATCTGAAACAGGTGGGGATCATGAAAAGGTCCCTTGCGTTACCGCGGAGTATGAGGGAGAAGCGCGTGGCCCTTTCTAGAAGCATACACTTACGGCTGACGAGGGAAAGGGAGTTCCGGGTTCTGGTGTCGGAAATGGAAGCGAAGATATTCGCTAAAATTACGTCGGGTATATCGTTAATGGTGGCCATTTGGTTTTGTTTTGTTTTGATTTTTTTTTTTGTTTCTGTGGGTGTCTGTTAGCGTGGATTTTGATTAAAGTTATTGTGAATTGAATTTGAAAGATAATTATGGATTGATCTTTTAGAAGAAATTTGATTTTGAGGGATGAGGGAGTCAGTGGGTAGGTTTCTTTCTGGTTGAAGGGAAGGGGCATCGGATAAGGCATTGGATAAATCAACTTCAATGACACTGATCGATTTAAGAATCAATAAAAAAGATTTTTTATTAATAAGATGATAATTTTATTCATATTTTATGATAAATTCTCTCAAATTTGACCATGAAAAGGATAATTAATATTTTTTTTTGGATAAAAATCGAATAATTAATCAACTGGAAAATGTTGGCTTATTTTCAAAATTATTAAAATTTTTCAGTTCAAACCGATTTTTTTAGAATTAAATTTTTATTAAATTAGGGCCTTTCACTGTACTGTTGTACCTGTAAATGACCTTTAACATAAGCATACTCGTAATGTAAATTAATACTAGAAACTGAATAAACTTTATCCAAAAATCAGGACATTGGCTAACAAAACAGCCTATTCTGAGGACAAAATTGTAAGAGACTGACGGTTCGTCAACTAGAAGGCCAGATAAGGGGAAACATTGTTTCATTCATGGTTGTCACATTAATATTCTCAGCGAATAATAACCAGTAAACTAGATTTCTTGGTTTTGATGGGATTCTTATATATAAAGAGAGTCGCATCCCTCGTATCTTAAAACATTCAAATTCAGTCTTAAAGCCTAAGAGAGCTTCAATTCAGGAAGTAGCTGAATCTTTTTCTACATTATCCCTGTATCTATACGTGTTAAAAAAATAGCAGAGGCTACAAGATCAAGAATGTCGTAAATTTCATCAGCTGGGAATTCTCAACAGAGTCCGATCAATCTCTACCTTTATTTTGCTTGTCTGCTTGTCTGTGCACAGCCAAAGTTTGCCCATCCTTCTTGCTTTTCTTATGGTTTTTTTTTTTTTATTTGTTTTTTTGCTTATTTTGTCTTCAACACAATAAAATTTTGATATACATGCAATAACTCAAGCATCCTAGAAAATGGTTCTAAAAAGAATATTTGAATGTCAAGTGATCCAACTTTCCAAGTGATTTTATTTTTGGAACATCGACTACTGTTGCTCAGGTGAGCAAAATCTGATGTCACTGAATATCAAATGATATATGATGCAATACATACAATTAATCTTAGTATTTTCTGTCTTTTTGTTCATAATCTTTGAATTTTCGGACCATCTTTTTTTTTTTTTCCTTTATAATTAAATTCTGGGTGTTAGTCACCTATAGTTTTAGTATTTGATTCAAGTAATAGTATTTCCCTCTTATGCTGATAATAACATAAGTAACTAAATTGAGTCCAGATTGAAGGATCAACTAAATCTGGTAGGAAAGGGCTGAGTGCTTGGGACCAATTTGTTAAAAAATTCCCAGGTTGGAAACTTGATTCTTTCTTGTTAATTACGCAGTTTTCTGGAATTTTGCTAGCAGCAAAAAACCAAAAAGAAAAAAAAAGGTTTCTCACTGGAAGCCCTTGAAAACAAGTATGGAGGCTTCTTAAATCAGACAGTCATGTAAGTTCCAATCTAACATATACAACTTGTAATTAGTGTAATTGATGGTCACTAATATATGATTGTTGCTTTTTGTATAGAGCTTGTAAGTATACAGATCAAGTAATAAAGTAAAACATTTCAAGTATCATCTCCTCTAATATCTAGGGTTTTAGGATTACAGGATTGGAGTAAAGATTAAAAGCCATTTATAGGTAAGATTCTTAACTTCATCAACTATTACTTGAGAAGTAAAAGATTAATGCCAACAACTAATCCTAAAGCAAAGAATTGAAAGATTGCAAATAAAAGAATTAAAGATGGCAAGCAAGAAATCCTTGAGAATGCTGAATTGATTTGAAGTAAATGAAAATTGCATGAAAGAAAATAAAGAACAAAAAAGTTGAATGTAGCCGAATCTTGCAAAGAAAACAAAGAAACTTGGATCTTGAAAATTAGAGATTGCTTGTGCCGAAATTAAAGAAAACAAGAAACAAGATTTGTAACTTTAAAAACAAGAAAAAGATTTAAAGAACAAAAGCTTGCCAATTGGCAAATTTGCCACCTATGCCAATACCTTACTAAAACGAAATAAAGAACTAAAAACTAAAGAAACTATAGAGAGAAGAGAAGTGGGATGATGAAACAAGTGAATGGCCTTACCTATTTAAAGGCATAGGTTCGACCAAAGGGGTAGGTTTTACAAGTGATTGAGTTTAATTCAAAAATTAAGAGATAAAGCTTTATCTTAATCTTCAAGATTGCATACAAAATTCAAACTCTTTACTTTTGGAATGCTTTGGTTGAATGCAATGATCTTAGCCCTTGATCTTCATGTGATGTAATCTTGATCAATCTTCCTCCATAGGTTTAGCTAAGATAGGATTTCAAGAAAAGATAAGTTACATTTTTATTTAAACTCCTAATCTTTAAGGTGATAAAGTCCTCATCCAATCCAAACTCTTCAAAGCTAAGCAAAAGTATCATGATTGGTTTTGAACTTTCCTTTGCCGGATGATGTAGTTTCCATGGGAGCTTGGATTATCCTCTCTTGATTTTTGATGTGGCCAAATGAGTTGGTGTCCTTAGTGAAGTGAAACTCTTTATGGCTAAGTAAAGAAACATGTTTATCTTGCAAATTCACCTTGGCCGTATGGATTAGAATCCAATTGAACTTGTGCATGCTTGAAAATGGACCAATTATAGTTGGCATTGTGCACAACTAAGTGGGTCGAATCTGAGCTTTGCATGATTGCATGCATGGCTTGCATGAATATGCATCTTGAGCTTGAAAAACCTAAAACCATGAAAATAACATGAAAAGCACCAAAAATCATCCAGAAATTAAATTTTTAATATCCTTTTAACATGTAAAATCTCTATATAATTTGGTGCTATTACATTTGCACACTTAAATCTTTGCTTGTCCTCAAGCAACACCTCAAAAATCAACAAAACTAAAGAACATTAATAGCATCCTCAAAGTAAAAAATTATACAAAAGCTCCTATAATGTACTATTGCATAATATAAAGTTAAGGATAAATATAGAGTCATAAGAATGTCTTTCAAAAGCAAGCTTTCAATGACTTATGCTAATCATACATACAAATCTACTTCATCTTTAAGTCATGCATATAACTCAAGTAAATAGAATGCAAAACATTTTATCACATTTCAATTTAAAGATAAAATAGGCATCATATATTCACTTACCCCTTCTTTTTCCATTAATGTTAGATCTACATATTCAACTTAATAGCAAGAGTATTTTAGGCTTGTAATGTAAGACTTGGGTCAAGGTAGGATAAATGTAGGCTTACTTTTAAAAAAATTTTTTTTTTGAACTTTGAACAAATGGGAACTCTTTTTGCAACTTTGACTTGTGAGGCATTCTTTATTGTTTTGTATTTTTGGCTCTTTTTTTTTTTTTTAGAATAATGAGTAGCCATTTTTGGCTTTATTAAGCTTTGCCTTTGCTTTTACGATTTTCTTTTTCTTTCATTCTTTTTTGGTGCCTCTCTTCGTTCTAAATAAAAGAATATATCCATGATACACAAGTAAGCACAATGGGTTATGACAATAAAAAAAAAAGGATAACAATGAAAGAAAAGACTTATTATGCTTGTAAAATGGCTAAATAAACAAAGAATAGAAAATATAATAGGCTTAGAATAAGGGTACTAAGGATGCGTCATCACAAGGTAGGCTTGAAAAAAGTTTAAACAGTCCAAAAAAACTACCTAAATCATTTCTTGAATCAATTATAGTATATGATTTTGCTTCAAGGGTTTAGTAGGAGTATTTTAGAGTATTTATTCAATTCTTAAATTTCATGCAAAACCATATTTCAAAACCTTTAAAAAAATCATAGCATTTCATCTAAAAAGAATAGAGATGCATACATAAAAATCATATTCAAAGTAAAGGCATGCTTAAGAATTCTTTTCAAGTTCCTACTAATTGCATCCTTAAAATTCATATCATAGTTTAGTCATTCAAGAGAATATATATAATTTTTAAGTAAGTGAATATCATAATGAAGTTTAGAAAGTCAATTTGGTTTTAAAAGCAAAGATGAGTTAAAGTCTTATAAATCTAAAAAGTTTTCTTTTTTTCCCTACACGTAGATGAAATCATATATCAAGAAACTCAAACGAAAAAGAAATCCTTCATAAAATTCTTCAAGATCGAACATTCATAAGGCATCCTCATTACTTCTCTTTATCTTTAAAAGAATTACTTAAACAAAAACATTAAAACATACCTATCTTAATAAAAATAAAAGGTTTAAGAAGGATAACTATTAAAATAATACTTGGGTTGCCTCTGAAGTAGCACCAATTTTGGTTAAGCTTAACCATCCCTAATTTTATGAAGAATCTTTTTATCCTTTGGAGGAGTTTTCCTTATTGCCTCATTTTTTGTGGTATAATATAAATAGACTTTGTTTAAGACAGTGGGCTAACTTTCCTAATTGGGATTACATAAACTGAGCTTGAGTTTTTGGAATGGTTGACATAATTGGAGTTAGGGTTTGCTAAGTTTTTCAAAGGGTCAGAAGGTTTTACTAATAGGTTAGACTTTTTTAGGGTTTCTTTAAATTTCTTGACTACATTAACACCTTTTTCATGTCTTATCACATCATACCCTACAAATACTAATTGCACTTTTTTGTGTCTAAACCTAAAGGTAATGCTAGCATCATATACATCTATCAAGGCTTTGGCAATGAACAAAAAATGTCTACTTAATAGTAGTGGAGCCTTATTATCCTTCATATGTAAAATAGCAAAATCCATAAAGAAATCATTTTTTTCAACTTTTACCAAGACATTTTTCAACATCTCTTATGGTAACTTAGTAGATTGATCAGTAAACTTAATGTTGAATGTAGGAGTTTTCAGCTTTCTACAACCTAGTTGCACACAAATATTCATAGGCAATGAATTTATGCTTGAACTAAGATAACAAAGAGTATCAAAAAATTTAAATTTTTTAATAATGTAAAGAATAGTAAAACTCCTAGATCTTTTAACTTTTCAAGTAAGAGTTGTTGAAGTTTAAGGTTGCAATCATCTAAGAATGTGGCATTTTTTAGTTCATTGTGCAACTCTTTTTAAATAGGGCTTAGGGTAATTGATTCAACATTAAAACATTACCTATACATTTTGGTAGTCATTATTGACTTTTACTGAACTTTCTTTTGAATTTCTTTTTCTTTTTATAGGGGATCTTCTTCTGGCATTATCCCTTTTCGTTGGTTATTTTGGCAGATGCACCTTGGGCTATCTCTTCTGGCAAAATGCTTTCTACTAATGCTCTCCCTACTTGTAGCAACATATATCTTTTTTCAAGAAGCCTTTTAATGTATTTTTTTGGATGTTCTTCATAGTCTATCTCATTATTTTCTTCCACAAGGTCTTTTTCATAGGTTTAAATAGCTTCAGGGCCTCTAATGCCATAAGGTCAAAACCTTCCAAGATTTCTTTACTAAGCCTTAAAAGTTTCTCATCTTTCAGAACATCTTCCATTCCAATAAAATCCACTTTAGGTTATCTTACAAAGTTGGGTAGGTTGAGAACTATGTGTTCATCATCATCTTCACTAAAATCGTCCATCCTAACATCCACTAAAGAGTACATTGCATTACATCCCTCATTGTCTTTTTTTTTTTTTTTTAGGTTGATTTTAATGTTAGTAGGTAATGTACCTACTAGGTGATTTGCTATGATTTAGGCAAGTTAACCTATTTGATTTTCTAGGTTTTTAATGGTGTAGTTTAGCTTTGAATGTAGGTATTGTTAGCTTCTATCGGTTGGGTCAACATGTGCTCAAAGATAAATTTTTTTCATCGTTTCCTAATTCATAGAGCTACAACTTAATTGAATTTTAGCTTTAAATTTATAGCATATCAATCCAAATCAAGGTTGAAAGTCACACATGGATGTAAGTGATAAGTGTAAGCTAAATATAAAGATCCATTTTGGCATGGATCTTCTCTCATTCTTAACGATTTGTTTAGATTTCTTTTTTTTTAGATCTTTAGTTGTTACCTTGCTTAGTTTAATTTTGTGCAATTTATTTCATGATTTTAAATGAATTTGATAAATTTTTGTTGAATATGTTCTATTTTTTTAGATTCTATACTATTTTAAATTTGAGTTCATTGAGCCAATTTTATAGTTTATTTAGGTAGTTAATTCATAAATCTACGTTTCCAGTTTAGATGAAATTCATTTTCATTAAATAATTACATATTGAATTTTTCTTTTGCATTCTTCATGTGTTTCCAGCACATATTAGAATTAGAGTAGTTTTTGTTCATATGTTGCTATAATTTTCTGCATGTTTTCTTCGACAATTTTAATTTTTCACTTATTCTTTTACTCAATCATAAAAATTTCAATTTAGGTTTAGTTTTATTTATGCCATTTTGTGAAGTACAAAAATCAGTTTTCAGCTTGCTTGTTTCTTGTTATTTCTAGTTTGTCATATATAGTTGGTTGATTTTTTCTTTGTGTGTGGTTTATATTTTTTACTCTTAGATCATGATCAAAATTCAGTTCACATTTAGTAAGCTTTGCATTTGTTTAGTTTAAGTACATGTGCACTTTATAGTTTTATTTTGGTTATATTCATTTTAGGCGTCAATTTTAGTTTCATGCACTATTTTTTGTTTCTTCCTTTTCACATCATTTTCATACATACTTTTCATATTTGATTTTCATGCATTTTAAGATTAGTTATGATTTTTCATTTGCTTTTTGTTCCTTTTTTTTTTCCATGTCTTGTTTTCTTATTTGGTTTTAGTTGATCATTTATATTTTTTAATAGAATTTAATTTTAATATATTCTTTGATATTCTTTGATTGAGCCAACTTTAGCAAGAGTAGGTTGATAATTGGTACTTAGCTTAGGAAGTTCTATCTAATCCCTCTAGGATTAACATTTCAACTAAAAGATCATTTTTACTACTTGTTCTGTCTGTATACTTGTAAATTTTTCATAGCAAATTTTTGGTGCTATTGCCAGGGATTAGGTGTTAAGAGTATTTGACTAATATCATCCTTCACCATATTTTTTATAGATTGGTTCACCCCTTAGTGTACTTTTGTTAGGCTAGTTACTAACTTACCTTACTTTTATTTCCTTAGGCTGTACACAACTTTTTTTGTGTTGGTTTTTATTTATGATTTTTTTTTTATTTCACATGTGAGATTCCAATACTTATAAGGTAACCGAGCATCATTTAGGCTCTGCTAGACCTTATTATTTTAATGATTACCTACGACCATGGCCTAGTGAGAAAGATAATGCAAAAATAGAGTCAACCTTTAAAGATTTGATCAAAAATTTTGACTTGATAAAAAATCTAGTAGAGGCCATTAAAGCTAGGTATGATCCCAAGTCTACTTGTGTTCATAACTTTTCAAGCCCACATGATAATGGTCAAGTGTGTGGTGGAGTTTACCATAGTGATAGGTGTCCATATAACCAATAATTATCAATCTTACATAAACATCTACACTAGTCAAACTTGAGAAAATCATCTTAAGTATATATGGGATACTAGTTGTTGCTTCTCTTTAAGAGTACCACAAGTGTACAGGTCGTAAAAGTAATAGAGATTAAAAATATTGTAGATTA